GATTGAGGGACCACAACTGCCCCCATTGCTCCCCCAATCTGCACTAAAGGTAGGACAGCAAGTGTGGCTTAATAAGCGGTGCCAGAATACTTGGCATATCCTCTCAAATTTTGTTTCAAAGATTTCTTGCCATGAAAAAAGATTTTTTGTCCTCCAGGGTTGTGGAGTTTTGTTGAGGCATCAGCGTTGCGTTCCATTTTAGGTGCACCACACTGCAGCAGACACGATTCAGTGGGGAGTCGACTTAACACTTTAGAGAGGTTAGTGTACCCCATGGGGACTTGGAAGCCCCCACTGGTCCGAGGGGGGAGGTAGTGGTGCTGCAAGGAGTCTGCTGTCAGATAGGAGCCCAAAGCAGGGAGATCAGCCGTCTCTCCCAACTACCAGACTGTCAGTTGCAGTCAGACTCAGAGTACACACTGTACTTGTCTGTCAGGACACCCTGGTTCTGGTTCAGTACGTGGCAGCTTATGGTAAGGGTGAGCCCTGAATAGCAAGAAGCGTTTTTTCAGCAGGATTTAATGGGTTATTTGCCCGTTTGTAACATAATTTACTCGGAGCTAGAGAGATACACATCTGGCCATTTTGAGTGTCAGGCCCCGCCCCGGAATTATGTTTTTTATTGCTAGGGAGATCTTTACGTTAGCTGTTACAGTATAGGTGCGGCATGTATCTTGGGCTAGCATGGTAGGATGGAAAGTCAGGGTTCTGGCTTTTTTCTTTCTTCTTTTCTTCTTAAAACACCTGCTTGTTTTATTATACATGCAGCCCCCTTGATCTGTGCTCCCCCCTCCAGTCTCCGTATCTCTAGTGCAGAATACTCAGGTGCCAGGCAGAGCTCTGATTGATACCCAGTGATATGAAGCAGCAAGTGTAGTTAGCATCAGTAAACCTTGATGTGTGCCTTCTGAAGGCAATGGGTGCAGAGATTCAAAGATTGTATTACCCGCTGCCTTTTACTGTGTGGCACACTGGGGGGGAGCAGCAGCGAGTCTCTTCAAGCCACCTCTAATGCTTATTACTTCTAGGGATTTCGATTGAAGTTTATTTTAATTTTGGAACTTTCTTCATTGTTGCATATGTGTATTAGATGTTTATTTGATGTATATTACAGTCATGCAATTTTTTACATTTGGGGACAATATTGCCTGGTATCCTGTAAGCATAATTCTGAAAAGTCACTTAAGAGATTGATACATCCCTCTTTTCTTAAGATGCTGTAATACCAAGGTTCATATTAGGTGAATGATTTTATTATTTAAGTTTCACTATGTAAGGCAATAACTTAGAAAAAGGTAACTATAATTAAAATAAAATATGGTATATTGTAAACTGTTTAACTGGAATTGTGATATCACACATGTTGCAGTTCAATTAACAAAACATTCTCTAAGCATCATTCTAGCCACAAAGACTTGCAGTTAGAATTTCCTTATTATTGGCACCAAAAATGCTTTTTTTGGCACTATGCCAGAGGAAACGGAGTTTGGGAAGATTAAAGATTAGAAATAGCGGCCTGGCAACTGATCTCCAGGAGGCCTGTTTGTATTTCGGCTTTGTTATATTGTTATAGGTTTACTGATATTGGTTCCTGCTTCATATAAGCTGAGAATGAATGTTTTTTAAACCAAAACCTTCTTGTCATTACTGAACATTTTCAATGATTTTCATTATTAAAGGAATACTAAATGCACCATAACTACTACAATTCTGTAGTGGTTATGGTGCTTTGAGTGCCCTGGTGAACCCCTTTTGTAAGTAGTCAAACCATTGTTTAGAAATACTGCAATGCAGAGCTAACTCATTGATGGAAAGCATCAGCTGATCGCACTCATCCTAAAACGTTTCATTTATTTATAGTGGGGAGCATTAGGGCACTTCTGGCACCATAAACACTGCAGTGAGCTGTAGTGGTGGTTATTGTGATTGAAGTATTCCTTTAATATTAATTTTTTCCCCAAAAAATTATTATATATTTTTCCAAGGTTTACATTGTCAATATATATTTTAACAAGCAGAAGAATTGTGTATTACCCATCTGATATGGAAGCGAAATTAAGAGTGTGTAAAAATATGAAACAACAGTAATGATAGTTAAATCTTATTTTCCTTACTTCTATATTAACCTTAAAATATTTAAATAACAAGCACAATAATGCCACTACAAACTACAGTTGAAATCTGAATGTTGATGAATTCCATCAACTAATTTCTGAATTTTATCTGAGTGGTATTTTCAATTCTAAAAATGTTTTTTCATTATGATGTACATTTCACATTGAAACAAAGTTTGCAGATCTATCTGTCTGCCATTCTACCTATAGACAGACATCTTTACACTTTACTAGGCAAGTAATATGGCCTTCCAAGCCAACCAGTGCTCAGACAGCACATTTAAAGTGTAATTGAACCTCTTACATTATGACGATAACTTATAATTGGGTCTTGGCAATTTAGGAGACCTGGGGTTGGTTTTTAAAAAATTTTAATACAGAATTCAGGTCACCAAGTGACCTGCAGACACAGTTAATATTCTCCACATATCCCACTCCTGTTTGCTCTATATTTAGAAAAAATACTCCTTCTGCCACTGTGAGATGCTCAATGCAGGTAAGCGGTGAGATCAACCTTGAGCTGCATATTGAGGTTGAAGGCGTATATTAAACGTATACATTTATTACACTTATTAGTCACATCAAACTGAGCTGCCCAATAGCTGCATAAACAGTTCTGATGCATCGAGGCATGGACTCCACAACACCTTTGTACGTGTCCCATGGTATCTAATTCTAAGACATTTGCAGCAGATCTTAAAGGAACTGCAACTTGTGTCCATGGATTGGATTTGTTGTTCCAGCACATCCTACAGATGCTCAATGGATTGAGATCTGTGGAATTTGGAGGCCAAGGCAACACCATGAACTCTTTGACGTGTTCCTCAAACCATTCCTGAATAATTTTTTGCAGTGTGGCAGGGTGCATTATCCTGTTGAAAAGAGGTCAATGCCATCAGGGAACACCATTGCTATGAAGAGGTGTACATGGTCTGCACCAATATCTAGGTAAGTGATGTGTCAAATTAACATCCACATGAATGCCAGGATCCGAGATTTCCCAGCAGAACGTTGCTCTGAGTATAACATTGTCTATGCCAGTGTGCCTTCTTCCCATAGTGCATCCTGTTGCTATCTCTTACCCAGGTAAATGACACACAAGACCCCAGCCATTCACCTGACCTAAAAGAAAACGTGAATCTTCAGACCAGGCAACCTTCTTCCATTGCTCCATGGTCCAGTTCTGATTCTCAAAAACCAATCAAAGGCACTTTCAGCAGTGGACAGGGGTCATCATGGGCACTCAAAAAAGGTCTGCGGCTACACAGTTCCATACAGAGCAAACTGTGATTTGTGTGTTATGACACCTTTCTATCATAGCCAGCATTAGGTTTTTCAGTAATTTGAGCTACAGTAACTATTTTGTGTGTTTGGACCAGACAGACTAGCCTTCGCTCCCCAACCACTGCATACCAGGAAAACGCCATAAGACTTGCCATTTTGGAAATGCATTGACCCAGTCATCTAGCCATTACTATTTGGCCCTTGTCAAAGTCATCCAGATCTTTTCAGTTGCCCAGTTTTCCTGCATGCAATACATGAAATTCAAAAATTGACTGTTCATTTCCTGCCTAATATATCCCATGCCTTGACCGGTGCCATTGTAATGATATAATCAATGCTATTCACCTGCCAGGGATTTTTTAATGTTGTGGCTGATCAGTGAATATACCTTTCCTCTAACACTAAACACTTTGTTTATTAGGGATATGTATTTGCATAACATGACATACTGAGGATGCATATGAGTTCCTACATCAGGTATTTAATTTTTCATTAAAAAAAACACTATAGCATTAGCAATACGAACACGTATTCCTAAACTCACTATTTAAATTAGAGGGCCCCCTTAATAAAATTTAAAAAAATCTTATTAAAAAAAAGCTCTTCCTTTCCTTTTTTCCAGCACCAAAACTCTCTTACTGCTTTTGCCTGCACCTCCTCCCTAACACATGAAGGTGTCGCTTCCACGGTGATTGTCCAATCCAATGATTCTCAGGTAGACAGCGAGCATGCCTGTTTAACCCTTCAATCAAAATGTTGCTGTCTCTACTAAATGGCAAAATTTCATATTGAAGGGCTAAAACTAAAGAGCCACTCCACCCAGACCAATTCATGGAAATGCAGTGTTCTGTGTGCCTTTAATGGTTCTTTAAGCATGTGACATTTATAATGATAACTCGGACAATAAGATCAGATAAAGTATTTTATTTTTTTCTTCCATGTTTGGTTAATTTCATGAGTATAAACAGATTTCAAGCTCTAGTCATTAACCAGTAGCTTTTTTCAATCAAAATTGATTGAAAAGTCCTTTTAAAAATCAGGTCTTTGTGAATAAGCCCTAAATTACAGAGACTTTCCTAGATGGAGAGAGACCTCACACTTTCCTACATTGTTATTCTATGGAATCTTACTACTACTACTCTGTAGAGTACTTTACTGTCATATTCTATACCACAACTATAAAACAATAATAAAACAAATGTCTTGGAAAAAAGAAAACAAAACTACCGACTTGTGCGATAACATTTCATATAGATACGGAACTTTAGTGTAATCTCTCAAATACAGTGTTCCATATGAAAAAGAAAATAATAAATAGTGCTCTCCAAGATATTATTTCACAAATTGTATAGATTATTTAAATGTTTAATTGCCAAATCCTTGTACAATACAATTGCAGTCGTGATTTTCAAGTGTGATTTGATGCACCTCTGGTAACGTTTAGCAATTCAATGGTAGATTATGAAGAAAAACATAGCAAGATGTCTTAAACACAGTAGTAATACCTTACATATTCAACTCATGGCCTTTGGCTCTGTGTAGTTTCTTCTACAAAAACAACGTGAGGATCAACAAATTACTTTTGGCATCTATCCATATGACTTGCGGCAGAAGTCCTGCAACAGGCTATAAATGTCCTGTTTCATGACTGGTGCTTGGGTATCATCTGTTATGGATAATTTCAAGGTATGTGCCAGGAGTACAGATGTTTCCTCCTTGTCCCTGTTTGTCTCAAGCTGGTAGGCCTCTGGCTCTGCAATGGCAGTCATTTTGTGAGCACTAAACATTGTGCCAATATCTCGGCTTTGTTGGACACATTCACTGGCAGGTTTTCGCGATCTGCATCCCATCGTGTGAGCAACTACAGGTTGGCCAGTGTCACCAGTGTAATAAGGAGCCCTTCTAACAGTGGCCCACTGCAAGCTTTCAACTGGAGGGGGTGAATAGGCCCCAGCTCTCTGGCATAATCTATGGTCGATCACGTGAAAAACAGCATCCGTCAATGTTTGCAGTGGGTTCAATTCCCACACTGCTGTACCGGTAAGATGTGTGTATGCCTGTCTCATCGATGGTTTCCAAGTCTCCGACCAAGCTCTCCTCATAATGGCATCTGCTAGGCGTGAGAATTAGACTACAATTCTAACAACCTAATGCCTGCTCTAATGACATTAATCCACTTACTTAGGAAATCCATCCTACTTTTACTTTATGTTTTGTGGACTTTGAAGCTAATTTATAGTTGAGTGAGTGTGCTGAATTCTGTATGTGGTGTGTATCACTTGGCTCCATGCATATGTATATATTTAATAAAGAGGGTAGGACCAAAATGTCGCTGCATGTGGATTGGTGTATATACAAACACACACACATATTTATTTACATTTATAGAGAAAAATATATATATACATTTTTTTTTCGTGACAATAATCTGAATGACGTTAATATAAATACCCGTAAATATATTAAATATATTTGATAAAATATCAAACTATTGCAAGCCAGGTATAATTTTGTGTTTGTGAGCTTTATACATTCCTTCTGGTTTATTAGTAAGCCTTTTACTTTGTAGATGTTGGTAGTAAAAATCTGACACTGCTTTCTAACTGGATTAGAGTTCTTAGCATGAAGACGGGAGGGCTATATTGGGGAGCAGGCTCATTTTCAGACAAAGCTCAAAGGCAGGAACACAGCTGGGAGAACAGAGCACAGCTTGCAGCTGGGCCATTATACAGGCAGATTCTGGCAGATTATACACTCCAGGTGAAACCAGGGATTTGCTTGGGTGAATGCATGGTCTGCTGTGGCATCTGCTTGAGCTGAAGTATAACACTTTCTTCACAGTAACTGGCAACATAAGTGTTTTATTAGAGTCCCAGGTAACCAGTTCATTGATAAAAGCATAGCACAATGAAGGGAATAGAGGGGAACGCAACACTATAACAATACATCAAGCAGTCATTTTATAATGTTTCTGTAAAACGGGAAAGAAAAAAAAATAGGTACAATAAAATCACAAGAAAATGCACTCAGGATAAACATTAGTTTCTATGGTTTGAGCCATATATTTATTAAGACATACCGTATCATTACTGCATTATTTTATATATATATATTTTTATATATATTCAGTGTTACTCATTATGAATTCAAGTTTTGGGATAAAATAGCTGAACTGGAAAAATTCTGCAACACAGTTTAATCCAAATTGGCTGTTTGGTCTAAAGTTTATAAATTTCTAGTCAGTTCCTTACAATTCACGGTTTAGTGAATAACCTTAATTTTATTAGGTATGCAGACCTTGAGACAGATTTATCATATCACTGAAATAATGCTACATTTAAGCTGCATTGTGTGTGATACCTAATTTCAGAACTCTGAACTTTACAATCAAATATTTTACAGTGACAATGGTTTTATAAAACCAACAACAACAACAACAAAAAAAACATACGGCTGTTCCTTTCCAAATCCCAAATTACACCTTAAAACAGCACAAAAATAGACAAGTGCAAGCTCATCTGACAATGTAAAACAAAAAAATTATTTTGGAAAACCAAATACTTTTATAGTTTACTATGACATTTGTATATTTATACAAAAAAAGTTCAACGGCCATTTCAGTTGTACTAAAAACTTTTGTTATTCAAAGATATTTCAGATTAGTAGCTAATGTTTTTGCTTTAGTTCTACATATTTGGACTGATGAATACTAGCAATTGCTTCTGCTGCCCACCCAATATGTTACCTGTTGAGGCTTTGTTTGTAGGGATTCAGAAGAATATCTATTTTTGTCCCATTAAACTGAAGAAAGAAGGGTGATTTACTAACATGGGACTCACCTTTGCCTTGAGGTTTGCCTTGAATAAAGAATGAAAAATAAATATGAGACAGAAGGTTGAGTCAACTCTTCAACTTTTGACAATTACTGAGAGCTAATGTTAGGATAAGAGCTGTGCTTAGGATGATGATAATGTTTAGAGTTATGGTTTAATATACAGTACAATAAGGTCTTGGGAAAGTGTTAGAGTTATACTTTGCACTGTGGTTTGGTTTAGAACAAAGGTTTTAGGATTCCGACTAGTGATTAGAGATGTCGTGAACCGTCCGCGAACGGCTCGCGAACGTCTCGCGAACGGTTCGCCGAGGCGGTGAACTCCGGTCAGCTGACACATCCCGGCCAATCTCCAGCAGACCCTCCCTCCCAGACCCTCCTACTTCCTGGACAGCATCCATGTTGAAGCTGCCTTCAACATGGATGCTGTCCAGGAGGTGGGAGGGTCTGGGAGGGTCTGGGAGTGAGGGTCTGCCGGAGATTGGCAGGGATGTGTCAGCTGACCGGAGTTCGCTGCGAACGGTTCGTGGTGAACCTCGGCGAACCGTTCGCGAGAAGTTCGCGGAAGGTTCGCGATATCTCTACTAGTGATATGTTCAGGGTTAAACATTGACTAAGGCTTTGGCAAATCTTTAGATTTAGTTATATTTAGTTTTAAGGTTCAAGTCTCGCTTAGGGTGAGATTTAGGATTAGGTTTAAGGTTAGACTTTGGGCTATGGTAAAAATTAGGGTTAGGACTAAGGATAGGGTTAAGACAATAGTAGCTGCTAGGTTTAGGTATAAGGATGGTCTTATAGCTAGAGTTAGCTTTAGAGTTAATGTTGTAATGTTTAATGGGTAGATTTAGATGTAGGTTTAGTTTTATGCATAGAGTTAGGCTTTGGGCTAAAGTAAGATACAGGATTAGGACCAGGGTTAGAGTTAGAACAATGGCTAGGGTTAAGTGGGTATCTATGTTCTTCTAAATTATGCAAATTCCTAAGGCTCAATAAATGGAAAACTAGAAAATTAAAAAAAATGTTTTAGAACTAGATTTAGAACATAAAGTGGCAAAAACAAATCAAATATCAAATGTCAGAGTAAGGTCCTCAAAATTGATGCATCAACTGAGGGCGTGTGTGTAGCAGCAGGAAAATAACATACCTCCTTTCTGATAGTGAAATTTTAACAGAACCCGTGTGTTAAAAAGCACACGTTTAGTGTCCCAGTTAAAAAGAAAAAATAATCAGTATTAGATACAATGGTGTCTGATGAATTTTAGGTTTACATAAACCTACAGGCGCATGTTTTGGAAAGCCGCTTTAAAGAGGTTTCACTCCACCTACTGATGCTTACCCAATAACAGCCCTAGAAGACTGGCTAATATTCATGCCTGTTTGTTAAAGGGTCCAAATCTGCTGGAAGTATTTCCACAAAGGCATGTCCACCCCTTCTATATTTTTAAATAGCCACAACCTGATGCTTACACTATATTAAATAACAGGTTCCTCCCAGCCAGCTATGGGTAGCAGTGGTGTGGGACCGTTTAGTTGTCCACCCAATACTATGGTATTTTATAAGGATTTGTGCAGCAATACCTGTCCAGTTGCTAGTTGTTAATTATAGTGAGCAGCCACTGGCTGGTCAATGTTTAGTAGACATGCCCACAACCACAGCGTAGCAGGTTGGGATATTAGAACTGTATTAAACCTTCTTTATACTAATATTTGGGATATATTTTCTTATTTAATCTCTCCTAAGAAATAAAGGCTTATCAGGAACCAATAAACTCCTGGTAAAGATGATCGGGAAATATCCTATTTACTGATATATAATGCAAGAACATCTTGCAGTGAAAGTCACTTTTTGCTAAATAATTTAAATTTCTCTTTTTTTTGGATTGTTAGGGAGAGAGAAGAGAGAGAAGACCTCTGGACATGAATTGAGAGAAGAAAACAGTTGGGTGAACATATGTAATGGTAGGAAGGGTAAATAATGGAGCACAGTAGGTAAATAACACTTTATTGGTATACAATGGAAAAGTTTGTCAATCAAATTCTATCACCCACTATATTCATAACTTCTTATACTAATAACTAATGATCTCCATGAATTCTTTGTTGTACTTAGTGAGGTTGAGCCCCAGTGTAGGCATCATTTAAATTTTTTTGTTATGTGTTTTATCTATTAATAGATCAGCCTGTCACCTCTCCTAGCAATATTGATGTCTCTTTCAATGGATTTATTTGAATAACCTCCATGTAATAATCTCTTTTAGAGGTCTGTTATTAAAAGAAATCTAAATTGTAACAATTTCCACTCATCCTCGTGAAAGCACCTCTTAGTACACCAACAAAAGTAATTCAAGGAATGCAAAAAAGGCAAAAAAAAGTAAGTTATTTTTTGAAATTCAGAGTAACATACCTGAAGAAGGATTACTCATTGGTTCAAGATCAAAATAAGTAGCTTAAAATTTGAAAACAGAATGGAAATTTTTACATTTTAAGATCATTGTTGTTTAGATAATCTATGAAAACTGAAATTGAGTCCCTTGGTCTAAGCCAAATGATTCATAAGTCATCTGTGTTGCATCCATAAGAATCTACAGAGTTCTTTTATCTGTTTGTATCTCCAAAGATGTGTCTGTGTCGATATGAGTTTGCAAATTTTGACCCATAGCAATGCCTCTGGAGACTATACACCCCATGAATAAAGAAATTATGACACAACAAAAATCAATGCGGTCATTTAAGCATCCTTATTGAAGACGAGTTACCAAAGGAAAAAACAAAAACAAAACTGTGTGAATGTTTCTAATATTTTGACACACAGAATGTACGAGTATAGAAAAGATACATATAAACTCATTCTCCAAAATAATCTTCCTGTTTTAATTTCTGTATGTAATTTACGACATGTTTGGTATCGTTTATGAAGGTAACTTTATACAAGACCATCGTTTTATTACTAAATATCCCCACTGGTAACAGGAAATGTTAAAGACTAGAGATTGCAACAGACATACTTAAGCATCATTTTTATTTCAAAAGGGGTTAGTGAATTGTTTATAAGTCCATCCAAGCATGACTGTGTAGCTGAACACTTCATATAGGAATTCACACATCATTTAATAGTTACAGCTAAGGATCTCATGCAGGTCATACCAAGCAACAACAATGCCAAATATGAGTCCAGACTATCTTTTAGATACAGATACAAGTGTGTAGACAGTATGGTTATATTTATTAAATCATATCAATTTTCCCATTAATTGTTTCCCTATGGATTAA